TTTGTAACGCCCGTGTTTTTGGGATAAGCATTAAATACGATGTAATAGTCCATGTCAACTATTGTAATGTGTTTGAAGTAATAAGAATGAATTATGTAAATTTATATGCCTTATATTTAATTATGATGATATAATAAATTAAGGATAAAAATAAGCGTCGAAAGTAAAATGTTAGATAAACCCGATATCAATGAAGAAAGTTGTAGTGGTCGAAACAAGGATTCCAGAGATATAAAGAATACCGAAATCCGAGTTATAACGAAGAAGTTATGACATGTCGAAGTTTCGCGACAGAACCGGCACGACGCTGTATAACGTAAAAAGTGAATTTACGATAAAGTGCTTTTTAGCCTTAGCGATCTAAATGAAAGTCGTAGTATACGTTAAACCGAGAGCGTGCATAAAAAGAATGTCCAAATCAGACTTCGTATGAGGAAGTTATGAATTTTTCTAAGATTTGACATAGCAGTATGCAGCCCGGAATTCGAATTATAGATCGAGCATTTTTAGCCGACACAACCTAAACGAGAATGGAAGATCTTGTCGATAGTAGTTTAACGGTAAAAAGACAGACGAAAACGGACGTCGGATGAAGAAGTTATGTTAAAAATATATCTTTAAAAATAAAGAGCGTCGAAAACGGATCTCGTATGCGAAAGTTATGACTTTTTGAAGTTTGGAAAATAAAAATCGGGGGAGTACGCCCAGCGTACTCGTGTTCATGGTCCGAGATTGGCCACATCGCCTACTCCTTCGCATGATGGACGCGTGTATGTAGCTTGTATGAGTCTGAAGCTCGGAATCCGATCAGGCTCCACGTCTCACCCTACGCCCAGCGTACGAGAGTACGCCCAGCGAAGAGCTGAACGAAGTAGTATGCCCCGCGTACCAAGAAATTACGCCCAGCGTAATGCGAGGCCTCGGCCACCTATAAATAGGATCCGAAGCCAGCCGAGTTAATGTTACAAAATCCTTCTCTCTTTCACTCTCTACTCCCTTTTAGCCTATCCTAAACCCCCCAAAGCCTAGGGTACCATCCTAGCACCCGAAGAAAGCCCGGAGCCCCGAACTCTCCGAGAAAAAGAGTTTTTTTGAGTCAAAACTCTGCCCGCGCAGAGCCCGGTTTTTGAGAAAACATCCCAGTTTCATCGAAAAATATTGTTTTAAGGGATGAAGTGTTGTCCAGTTATCGTCAAATAAAGTGAGTGTGTAGTCACTTTCATCTTACACATAAATATGAAGTATTTTCAATAAAATATGTGTTATGTGTATATATATTGTTTGTTTATTTGAGATGGGTGTTGAATGGATGTTTTATACAGGTTTTAAACTGTATATGTATTTTTTTTATCTACAAATATGTTGGGTAAAACATGGGTAGATGAAATAGTTGATGTGTGATAAAATGATGAGAGGCGTCGATGTTGTTGTTGTTTCGGTCATCTAGCGGAGTATAGATGACGACCACGGACCTTTCTAGACAGTCCAGTGGAACGCTAGCAGGCCCGCAACCTGTAGGTGTTTGTGAACGATGTGTTCACCGGTGTACTTCATCCCCCTCATGGTTGCCTTACGGACATATATGGCTGAGGAATCCCCTTAGCAGTAGTGTCCATCCCGATGATAATACTTAGGCTAGGTCCCTTATGATAGGTGTTTAGGGACGTAAAGTGAGGATAACGGGAAAGGGTAATCAGGGTTATTGTTGGTTAATGAAATAATAAATTTATTGTTGGTTGATGAAATTAATAAATTTATTTATTGTGGGTTGAAAACCCTATGTGCTCACCAGGCTCCCAAGCCTGACCCACTCAGCTTTCTATATTACAGGTAGTGGAACCAGAGCATAGTTGGATGATGACGAGGGATTTTGTGTTATAGGCCAATAGATGTAAATAACTGTTGTAAGGCCTATATCGTACTGTTTATGCTTTTAGTCTGTATCGGAACATGACATCCCGAGGTTTATTACCAACCATATATGATTTAATTGAACCACCCAATTTAATTAACCACCATTACAATTCTTGCATGATTCGAACTTAATACTAGTAAACCTTTTAGTTTAATCAATTGATCACTGTTTGAATTGATTTGTTTGCTAAATGATTAGTAATAGTGAACATGAACCTAATCATATTAAAAATTGGTAATCGATAATACATGAATCCATTGAACTTGCCACGAAATCAACCATAGGAATAAGTGAATCGTATCTAAACGGAAGTCTCTTTAATATTCTTGACTCTATCGTCTTTTGTCCTTGAATTAGTTGTTAATTGTTTCTTTGTTAAGTGCTTAATTGATTGTCTAAGTTTCTAGTCTTGTAAAACTAGAGAAACCTCCTCTATAATAATTGTTTTAATTAGTTAACATTAGTAATAGTTTTAATTGTTTTATTGTTCCCTGTGTTCGATACCTTATTTACCTACACTAAACTACTATTTGATTAGGTACACTGCATATTGTGTGTTGGTTTTTGTTTAAGTTAGTTAGGAACTTAAGATTAAAACTAGTATATCTCACACGTATCATCCATTCATAACCCTTCCGATGCTGCCACTGAACCTTGACCAAAGACACCACCTTGTTGCGCAAGGCCTTCGTCTTCCAATCCAAAATTACTAATGGTCTCTCCACATAATTCAGACGATCGTCAACCTGGATATCCTCCAAGGGAACAATTGTTGAATCATTAGCCACACACTTTCGAAGCTGAGAAACATGGAAGGTGTTGTGAATTTGACCGAGCTCCTCAGGAAAATTCAGCTTGTAAGCTACCTTGCTGTTGTGATATGTCTTCGAGCTTAACACCATTTGTGGTTGTTCCGCCTGAGTTAAGCTTCCAAATCACAACAAAGAAAGAGTTGACGTTAGTCGTCGTGCGGGAGGGTGTCCCAGAATGAGACTCTGTCGATCTAGTCAGAAGTTGTATGAGATAATTAGGGTTTAGTTTGAGATAGAGAGAGAGAGAAAGAGAGAGAGAGAGAGATACGATCCCCTCTTCTGGAGAAGAAGGATCTATTTTATACCTGTCGTCGAGGGATCATGTCCCCGACAGTACTTTTTGTCTTATCTGGATCGTCAGGACGTGGAGGCGTCCTATTGGCGGATTATGCACCACTAGCAATTATCTTCTATTGGTGCAGAACCGCCCAAGATCAGTGCTCTGAGCGCTACACTTGTCGCTCTGAGGAGTGGTTGGTACTGTTTTGGCCTGTTATGGGTCATGGCGTTAGAACGTCGGGGCCTAAGTACGAGGCCGCAAGGGCGAGAGCCCGGGCCTATTACTTACGTTGGGTAACGACCATCAGCTAGGTCGTCATTTAGATAATTGTCCCATTATCTTTAACGTATTACTAGAGGGATACGTTAACAAGCCCCCTAGCCTAGTAAACGCAACGTTAGCCTTGGGTAGTTGTGTTGTTCTAGCTTAGATCTAGACACGCGTTTGGTGGGGATGGCTCTGATGCCCGTTGGTGTGACAGAATCGTTCTGCACAAACGGTTTTTACTGCGGTAATCGTTTGATTCTCCCGCTTTGTATTTAAATTCCCCTTTATTAGGGGCGGTTATGTTCTCCTTATCTCCTACGTTTCAACCATCCAGAAAGCAATTTGTGTTTACTCTTCTCCTACCGTTTTCTGTACGCGATCTACAATGACTTCCATGCGATTTGGGAGCGAACCGACACCAGAAGAGTTCGAGTCTCTTCAGTTTCGGTTTGGTTTTATGCCTAAGCACGGAGTTCGATTTCCGAAGAAAGGGGCTATCTTCTATCAGCCGGCGGCGGGGAAGGTTGGAGTCCCTGTGTTGATTTTTGAAGTGGGACTTCGACTGCCAATATCAGATTTCTTTGATGAGGTTATGTGCGAGTATGGCTTCTCTGTGAATGACCTTACTCCTAATGCCATTAACAAGATTTTCTGGTTTGAGTTGGCTTGTCGAGCATTGGGTGTACTTCCTCAACCCCGAGCCTTCCAGTTCTTCTTTAACTCATCCACCCAGTCCAGTGTACATACTTTCTCTCAACGGTGCAATACTCTTTCATTTATTGTTAACCAGATGGATCCACAAAAGAACTGGCAGGATCGGTGGTTGTGGGTTAATAGCGATTTGATTAGTCCTGGCTATCCTTGTGCGGCCATCTCTTCGGATTAGGGCACCTCAGCTGTCGAGCGCTAGTTTGTATGTGGTTGAAGCGTTGAAAGGGATCTGCTTCAACGGGGAATATTGACAGGACTGCATCAACGTTGAAAGGGTGCTAGTTTGTGTGTGTGTATTTGTGTGTGTGTGTGTGTGTGTTTGTAGGGATGGACTTGGTAGTGAATAGATATGGGTAGGTAGGGGTGTGGTGGGTTGGGGTGTCAAGGTGGGGGTAGGTAGATTGGGTGGGATGGGAGTGGGTGTGTTTATATTTTAAAAAGAATTTGGAATTTGAAAAAATATGAAAAACAATGATTCTTGGTTTTTCAAAAATTTATAACTCCTTTGTAATTTTAGATAACAGAAAATTTCATTTTCTGTGAAAATTTTAAAAAAATAGACGAATTAAACGCGTTTTCAAAATTCTTATTTTTCTTGGAAAATTTTTCCGGAAAACGACTCATTTTTTCTGCAACTAAAGGCAACCTAACTTGTTGAGATGATCAACATTGGTTCTTGAACCTGATTCAAATTTCAAGCTGTACTCTATAGCTTAGTTTTGTAATTCTAATTCTAAATAATACGACTCCAGTTGAATACACAAAAGTAAAATGAACATGAATAGCCGCAAAACAATTCAATCTCCAGTTGGATAATAATATTATAATATATGACCCACAAATAAAAACGCAACGCAAAGCAACCACAAGCAATCAAAAAAACGTGGCAAGGGAACCTCCACGCTTCCGCTTTCCTAAAGGCTACATACAAAACCCATCAGATAACAAATATTTGAATAATTACTAGACAAGAGGCTCCACTCTCTCAAGTTAAAACCTCAAAAGAACACTCAGTCCCATCATTAAATTACAGGTGAATAATACAACATGTAATATATCGAAATATATTTATTTAATTAACATATCAACCCTTGTAAGTAAAACCCATTTACTGGGTTTTCTTATGATGAAAGAAATAGCTCAAATAGCCATCGATCAATAGCTGCACAGCAATTGAATCTCCGGTTGGACCGCTTCAATATCCTCAGATCAATCTACAACATATTATTATAACATATAAGCCACAAGATATAGATTCACCATGAAATTAACAATAATAATACACACTCCTTTCAGTAACTAATAATCGACACACATTCAATTCAAAGCATTAACAATCATAACCTTTGAGAACAAGCAACTTCATTTCAGTCAGCAGAATATGCTTCCAATCTGATTAGCAAAAAAGAGTAGTAACATAAGAGTATCAAATCTACAAAACTTAAACAACAACCCATAAAAACAAGAACATGAACATGATAGTGTGTGTTGGCAATGGTATTATTGGAATGGAATCCCCTGTGAAATGACAAGAAAACCGGAATTAAAATTAAGATGATGGAATTGGTTTTGTAATTTGTAATTTGTACATAGACATATAGAAAACAAACAACGAAACCAATATCAGCAGCTTCTTAAAATCTGTGAAATATCAGTCATCTTCGGTCACCATCATCAGTACCTAACTACAAAGATCAAGAAATAACAATGGAAGATGAAGAAAGGGTTAGCTAGCTAAGCTTCCTACTTGGGGCTCGAACCCAAGAAATCCAACTTATCAGCCAAGAAATTCACATCTTCAACACCTGATCTTTCGCTAAACAACTCTTCCCAGAATTCATCATCAAGTTCTTTCTCGTTCTCATTCCCCTCACACATATGATTAGCTTCTTCTTCTTCTTCTTCCTCTTGGTTTCTTTTGGCTCTACCAAATCCTTGAATCTCTAAAGCAAGTGCCTCAAGCTCAGACACCTGAGAAAACTCCTCCTCCTCTGGTTCATCTTTAATAAGCTTGTTTCTGGTTCCACTGGATTCGCCACTTTCAACACCATCAAACCCTCTAATGGCGTCTAGAAGGTCCTGTCTTCTACCATGTTGGACTAACTTTCTGACAAATTCAGGATTTTGCATAGCTTTCGCCAAGAAACTCATCACCTTCTGCTGTTTTTTCTCTGTCCCACGGATCCTGACTTCCATGGCTTGAAGTTGAGCCCTAGTGTTCTGTTGCTGTTGTCGGAGGTTTACTAATTCCATCATCAGAACTTGCTTTTCGTGTTTCAGACGCCCAACTTCATCCAATCCGAATGATTCAGGACAACCCTGAGAAGTAGCTGAAGATGATGATGAAGAGGAAGAAGGCGCGCGTCTTCTCTTGATGTTCTTCAAAACGTGTCTTTGACCCCTCACGAACGCTTCATTCGCAAACTCCCACACATCAGGATCTATCTTTCTAAAACCCTGCGTTCAGAAACCGAAAGCTCTATAGCCAACAATTCCCGAATAAAACATATATATACTAACTAAATATATCTAATACTAATTTCCCATATTCTTCATTCATCATTTCGTAGCCCCATCTTTTGCCATAATCAATCACATCTTCTTCTAGCTTTGCATAAATGAAACTTTGATTATTTTTAATTTAGTTGCGAATTAAAACCATACAAAAGAATTAAAAGAGAAAGACTTACATAAGTATTGAGTTGCCTGACAAAACTAGAGAAATTGTTGTGTTTAAAGTATCGAGGGAGGAGATTAGTGGCGAAAGCATGTGGATCCAATACAGTGAAGCTTTGACCCCCTCTGCTCCAAGAAACAATGTGGTCAATACTTGGGTCATCGACCATATCATAGATTTTCGTCAAAAAAGGTGGGGGCCCAGCATCATGAAGACCCTCCATTGGCTGTGGAAGTGGTGCTTGAATCGCCGTCGGCAGCCTTACGCCGTCGCCACCACTTGATGGATACTCCTCCTTAACGACCGAGAAGAAAGGATTCATAATCGATCCCTTCTAATTCACAAGTCTTTATCGATGGGTTTTAATTTACCAAGATAATAAACCCAAACGAATCACAAATCCAGAATCTTTTGTTTAAAAACTCAAACTCAGATGGGTTTTATTCAAGTTTGCAGCAAAACTCAGGAAATAGAAGATTGAAATTCGTACTACCGACAACGACGATAAAACCCAATAAATCAGAACAAGATCAATCACAAATCTCAGATGGGTTCATCAAAATTTGCATCAAAACCTAGGAAATATAAGATTAAAGTTTGCACGACGATAATTAGACCAAACAAATTACAACAAGATAATCACAAATCTCACGATTTTTCTTTGAAAACTCAGATGGGTTCATCTAACTTTGCAGAAAACCCGAGAATATATAAAATAAAATAAAGCTTGCTGTGATGAAAGATCAAACAGATTGGTATACACAAAGACCAAATCTAGAGTAGATTAGGGCTTTTGAGCAAAATTTCAGTTAAAAACAGATAACATAAATGGAATCTAAAGGACAAACTGACATTTGAGGAAAGTTGTTGATAACTGCCAGAATCATGGCTGGCGCTGAGCTATCCCCTTTAAGAAAGTTCTGGTATACTAAATTTATGGGTTTTTTTGTAAAAACAAGAGTTGAATTTGGGCAAAAATGCAGACGAAATGTGCAAAATTTCAGGGCAAGAAGGAAGACGAAGGTTCTAGATACTACTTATCCGAACCTTCCACACTACTTATAGCGAACCTTCTCTTCCTCACTATTATTTTACTTCCTTTTTTAATTATTGATTTGTATAGAAACAAATAGTGGGGCTTCATTTTTCTTTCATATTAAAAAGGAGACGTGACATTTTTATTGAACCCATTAACACAGTGAAAGGTGACATTAAATTCAGATTTCTTTAGTGTACGTTGCAGATAGAATCAAGGTTCTAAATAACGTGAGGCGTGACTTGGCGGCAAGGTAAAAGTTAAGTCATGACAAGCCTTGACGAGCCATGGCGTTTTTCAATGAGTGACTATTTTATATATATTAAAAGAGATAAATCATATAATTATTGATTTTTATCAAGTATATCAAGTTTTTAGAAGTGTTATATTAGTATTTAATATAAAAAGTTAACAAAAACTCAATTATTTTAGGCCCGATAAAATAAATAAAAAAAAAACAAAAAAAACTCGCGCCTTGAAAAAAACTCGCGCCATATCGCGATAAGGCGTGCTTTGACACGTTATTTGGACGTCACGCTTAACAAACCCGCCTTGGACGTTTTCGTAACGGCTGCACCACGCATCGCGCTATGGCACGCCTTGAGGCGCGCCATGGCGCGTTTTTTAAAACGATGGATAGAATACGTTTCGATTAATTTAGAGTGAAACTGTAAAATTGGAAAAATTGTTAGATAATATTTTTTTTAGAATTGTTATTTGTAAATTGTAAAAAAAAAAAAAAACAGTGTTAATATTAATATGGTCTTAATTTTTTACTTGTACATATAATCCAAATTCTGAATTTTTTTTGAAGATATAGTCCATGTTAAATATAAAAAGACTATTAAACATTATTAGAGTATAAAAGTCAACAAGAATGTTGACTTTCCTTTTCTGTTTCAGATTTAATACGTCGTCATTTTATTCAGATAGTCTGTTAGTTTGTTAGAAGATATTTTTGATTTCTGTTGTATATATTGCATCTGTAACATTATGAATAATTAACGAAAATCATTTCAATCATCCTTTCTTCTTCAAATTCTCTCTTTCTCTTTCAACATGGTATCAGAGCACGAGTTCTGATCAATTTCTTCCTTTTTCATCTCCAATTTTTTTTTCAATTCATCATCATGTCTGAAGCAAATACTTCATCAAATTCCGCAATTGAAGTTTCTAGCCCTTATTTCCTTGGATCGTCTAATAATCCGAGTATTATTCTTGTATCAAAGGTATTCGATGGAACTGGATTCGCTACTTGGAAACGATCGATGACGCTTGCTCTTACTGCTAAGAACAAATTATGTTTTGTTGATGGATCGTTATCATCTCCTGGAGCAAATTCACCTTTGATTTCAAATTGGGATCGTGTCAATTCTATGGTCATTTCTTGGATCTTGAACTCATTGAATAAGGATATTGCTGAAAGTGTCCTTTTCTTTCAAACAGCAAAAGAAATATGGACGGAATTGAATCAAAGGTATGTCAAATGGAGAATTGTATTCTACTAGTCAAGGATCTGAAGATCTTTCAACATATTTCACCAAGATGAAACGTGTTTGGGATGAATTAAGGATGATTCAAGAAGTTCCTACATGTACTTGTAATTCTGGTGCTATTTTTAACAAATTCATGGAAGATCAACGTTTAATTCAGTTACTCATAGGATTAAACGATTCGTATAAAGCTATAAGAGGACAGATCCTGATGATGAGTCCTCTTCCTACTATTTCCATTGTTCACTCTATCTTGATTCATGAAGAACGACAGAGAGAAATTTCATCTACACCTGACCTTGTCACAGAGTCTATGGCAATGCATGTTAACACTGGATCTAAGAAGAATCTGAATTGTTCACACTGCAAGAAGAGTGGACACATCAAATCTCAATGCTACAGACTCCATGGATTTCCAGCAGACTTCAAGTTCACGAAAACAAAGAAAACAGAGTCAATGGTTCACAATGTTACTGCTACAGATGATCCACAAACAATTTCACAAGAACAATACAATCAATTGATGGACCTTCTTATCAACAAAGGCACTTCTCAAATCAATTATGTTATCACTAATGGCTCAATGGATACAGCAGGTAATCCTATTGATAGTTCAGGAAATCATGTCTCTTATATATTCAATGTTGATATTGACTCTAATGGGACAAAATCCAAATGGATAATTGACTCAGGAGCTACTGATCACATTTGTTCCGATATGTCATTATTCTCTTCCTTGAGAACTCTTTCACATGTTCATTCAGTTGCTCTTCCTAATGGACATTTTCTTCCTGTTACAAAAATGGGAGAAGTCTTTATTCATAACACAATCAAACTTTCTGATGTGCTTTATGTTCCTGAGTTTAGACAAAATCTCATTTCTATTGCCAAAATCACATCTCAGTTAAAGGTATGGATTATCTTTACTGATGAATTGTGTGCAATGCAGGCCCCTTTGTCGAAGAGTAGTTTTATCATTGGCAAAAGGATAAACAATCTCTACTTACAAGGGCATAAGTGCTTGAAGATTCATGCATTTGCAAACAACTCTTTCATTCCTTTTTCTTCATGTAATTCTGCAAATAAATGTAATATGTCTAATCTTTGGCATTATAGATTAGGACATTTACCATTTGATAAAATGAAATCGATGTCATTGACTTCCAAAGATTGTTCTAACGATTTGTTCAAATCTTGCAAAATTTATTATCAAGCAAGACAACATAAATTGTCTTTTTCATTGAGTGAAACAAATTCCAAACAGTCTTTTGATCTTGTTCATATGGACATTTGGGGTCCATATAAAGAATCCACACATAATGGTTTCAAGTACTTTTTGACCATTGTTGATGATCACAGTATATGCACTTGGATTCATCTACTTAAACATAAGAGTAATGCTTTCACTCTTATTCAAGCTTCTGTTAAATATGTTCAAACTCAATTTCATGTCACTATTAAGATCATTCGTACTGATAATGCTTTTGAACTCGGTTCTAGCAATGAAGGTATTCAATTCTTTCAATCCTTGGGAATCATTCATCAAAAATCTTGTCCTTACACACCTCAAAAAAAATGGGATTGTAGAAAGGAAACATAAACACTTATTAGAAGTGTCTAGAGCTTTATTCTTCCAATCTGTACTTGGGAAATGTTATTGGGGAGAATGTGTTTTAACCGCTGCTCATTTAATCAACAGATTTCCTTCAAAACTTCTGGATAATAAAAGTCCTTATGAGATTTTATTCAAAAAGAAACCAAATTTGGATAATTTGAAATCTTTTGGATGCCTATGTTTCAATTCTACTCTACATGTGAACAGAGATAAATTCATGCCTAGATCCAAATCTTGCATTTTTATTGGATACCCTTTTGGTCAAAAAGGTTATAAAGTGCTTGATCTCAACACAAGAGATATCATGATTTCAAGGGATATTAAATTTGTTGAAAACATTTTTCCTCTTCATAATCTTGTTTCTCACAAGATTCATGAATCCATTGATCCACATTTTCCGAATATCGTTGATGATAATAATGATCAAATTTTAAACAATGGGGATGTTACTTCTTCTGCTGTGAACAATGAAGACCATAATTTTCATGACAATCATGTTCCAGATGTCTCTGTTAGAAGATCCACCAGAACTGTTATTCCCTCAACTCGTTTGCAAGATTATATTTGTTACAATGTAATCAATCAAAATGAAGATTTTACTGATTGTTATCATACAATAACCAACATCTTCATCAATGATTCTGTTCAAAGCTCACATTTCTCAAACAATGTTTCAATTATCAATCATGTCACTCCCAAAATTGTTGAACCACTATTCTACAATCAAGCAAAAGGAGATCCTATGTGGGAAGAAGCAATGAAAAAGGAATTTGAGGCATTAAATGCTAACAAAACTTGGGAAATTGTCAAGCTTCCTAAAGGCAAAAGACCAATTGCTTTCAAATGGGTTTACAAGGTGAAATATAAAGCTGATGGGTCAATAGAAAGGTACAAAGCCAGACTTGTGGCCAAGGGCTTTACTCAAAAAGAGGGAGTTGATTATCACGAGACATTTTCTCCTGTCATCAAATTTAACACTGTTAGAAGTTTAGTATCCTTAGCAGTGAAGAAGAATTGGAAAGTTCATCAATTTGATGTGAATAATGCATTTCTGCATGGAGAATTACATGAAGAGGTGTATATGAAAATGCCACCTAGATTGGAGAATACAACTTCCAATCTTGTTTGCAAATTAAAGAAATCCTTATATGGATTAAAGCAAGCATCAAGACAATGGTATGAAAAATTGTCTACTGCTCTTCTCACCAAAGGATACCACAGATCTTTAAATGATCATTCATTGTTCATAAAAAAAGGTTGAATCAACCATCATCATAGTTGTTGTGTATTTTGATGATGTTCTTGTAACTGGGGACAATGATGAAGAAGTGAATGGTCTCAAGAAATTTCTCGACAATCAGTTCAAGATCAAAGACCTTGGTACTATAAATTTCTTTTTGGGTTTGGAATTCATCACTACCCCAAATGGAATGGTAATTCATCAACATAAATTCATCAAAGAATTGTTGGAGTCCTACTTAACTCAAGATGCAAAAGTTGTTTCATCTCCATTGCCAAGTAAATTAAAAGATTTATATGAGAACTCAGAAGTATTATCTGATCCAACAAGCTATAGACAACTTGTGGGAAAACTGAACTTTTTATTGCATACTCGTCTAGATATAGCCTTTACAGCTCAATTCTTAAGTCAATTCAACAGTAAACCATGCAAAAGTCACATGGATGCTGCTATTCATGTTCTCAAATATTTGAAAGGAACCATTTTCCAAGGAATATTTCTCAATAATAAACAAAACTATAAAGTGGAGGCTTTTTGCGATTCAGATTGGGCTGCTTGTCCAACAACTAGAAGATCTGTGAGTGGCTTCTTTATCACTATGGGTGGGAGTCTTATATCATGGAAATCAAAGAAGCAAGCCATCGTT